CACACACACACACACACACACACACACACACCTTTCCACAGGAAAAAAACCCAAGTTTATAGGCACAGAATAGTCCAAATCTTTGCAGAGAATGGACCATCTGTGCCACCAAAATAATGAAGACATGGCTGTGACGTAGCCATGCCCAACAAACACTTCCATGGCTGCGGCTTTCATCTGTGAGCTATTGATTAGGTGCAGACCTGTCTCCTGAGCTCCGTCATATATATCTGTCTACATCCACACGGATACGTGCAAGGCCAGGCAGCTAAAGCCTGCCTCTTTGCCTCTTTTGTGTTCTTCACCTCAGCCAGTGGCCCTCTCCATCCAGTGCTCCACACAAAAACTGAGTGTCAAGTGCCATGCCTCCCCTCCCTTACCCCACATCCACAGGCACCAAGTCCCACTAATTCTACCTCCCAAATATCTCTCCAGTCCCTCAGGTGTCCCCATCTTTGCCACCACAGTGGTCCAGGCCACAGCACCAGTGGCCTGGGTTCTTGGAAATCTAATTAGTCTCTGCCCTCCACCATGCTCCACCCATTTATTCGCCACACAGCAGCCTGAGAGATCTTGAGAAACGACAAAGCTAACCAAGCCACTCCCTGCCTAAAGCCTTCAGTGGCTCCCCATTCCCTTAGGCAATGGGCCAGATTCATAACAGCGGCTTACAAGGAAGTGGCCCTGCCAATTGGTCTCACACAGTACTCTAGCAACCTTGATATTTTGATTCCTCCCTATTGCTTCTAGTCCTGTGTTCATGCAGTTTTTCTCTCTTTTTCTTTTAATTGGGGAATTGGGGAGGGAAACAGCGCTGGGGAATCGGGGAAGGGAAACAGACAAGTCGCTGTCCTTTTGTTCTTCAGTCTAGTGGTGGAGGACGTTGCTTCACTGGCCCAAGTTGGCACCATCATTGCGCTCTTCCCGGATGAGGCAGATCAGTAGCCGGCCTCTGGACGGCCGCTCATGGTGGCCCTTGGCAGCTCACATAGGCTGCCGGCCACACACGGTAGCTGATTTGGGGCTGAAGAGGAACTGGGTAAAATGAGCAGGACAGGGAGCAGGCTGTGGTGGGGCTGAGGCTGCCGGATGCTGAGCGTGGCCTCCTAACCTCTGTGTGACCCTGCTCTCAGTGGCTTGACTGTGCTGTCCACTTGAAATAATTCTCCTCCCGCTTTCCCCTTCCCAGAAACTATGACCTGGCTAAGGCCTGCAGGACAGATACTAGCACCAAACAGACTGGCTGGGCAGGACAGAGATGGCAGGGCCCTCAAACGTCCTTCTGTTCAAAAGCCCCTCCTCATTCCCCTGCCCAGAGAGCTTCCCAGCATCCAGCTGTAGAGACACAGCTAAGAACGAAGGTTCTGGAGCCAGACTCTCTGGGTGAAGATCCTTGTGCTGCCATGGAACAGGCCTTTACCTTCACAAAGAAGTTATTGATCCTTTCTGCGCCTGGTTTCCTAGTCTGTAAAATAAAGATAGTAATAGTTCTTCCCTCTCCGAGTTCTTATGAGGATTAATTGAAATGATAAGTAAAAAGGAAGCATTTAAAATAGCACCTGGCACATGGTTAATGTTCAGTGTTAGTTATTATGATCGTTCAAGACACTTCATAGTTCACCCCTCGCCCCCCAACATTGTCCCACTAAGCGTCTGCACCAAGTAGACAAGTCTTCTCAGAGCCCTCCCATCCGTACTAGGCTCTGAGGTAGGATGGACTAGGATGGTGTGTCTGTGGGTCCCCCAGAAGCCGACACAGAGGGAGCTAGGAGTGGGAGAGGTTTACTGGCGGGGGTAAAGCCTGTGAAAAATAAAACGTGGAGGGAGCAGGATTGGGCAGGAGAGCCTCAGACCAACATGTACACGTGACACAGTCTCAGCCATCTCTCCAGGGACATCCGGAGCAGATCTTGTCCCTCAGAGGAGTCCCGTGCTGGGCAGGAATAGCCAGGCGCTAGTACAACCTCAGTCCCTGGCGGGGGCTGCCCCGGAAGTGCATGGCCTTGACCGGGAAGTGGAGGTGGAGCCTGAAGGTGCTGCACTGAGCTGGAGGCCCCTGCTCTCTCCCGGCCCGACGGCAGGCTCTCTCTTGAAGCCAGAGACCCAGAAGCACCCCCATGGCTGCTAGAGATGGCTTGCTGGAAATTGAATCCAAATCCCAGCACCAATGACCAACTGTGTGGCTTTGGGGAAGTCATATAACCTCGCTGAGTTTCTGCTTCCCTATTTGTAAAGTGGAAGTAATGATGATGATAATGATAAAAAAAAATAAAATACTCCCTTATGTGGACTAACTGCTGTGTTCTTGGCACACACTGTGGACTGAAGAACAGCAGCATTTATTAGAACAACTTCTGACTCCAAGCCTGTTCTAACCATGACTCCGCACCCAGAATATTCATATCTTTCCTTTTCCATCCACCACTCCAGAATTGATCCCACCCTTTATGGCCCAGATCAAATTGTGCTTCCTTTAGGAAACCTTTCCTGATTGCTCTCACTCCAGAGAAATCTTTCCTTTCTCTTAATACCTTTTGCTTATCCATATAAGGAAGGAATAATCACTGCAGAATCTAAGACTTTTCTGAGGGCTTACTGTATGGTATGCACCATGCCAGGTGCATTATATTTTTGTGCTGGTTACCCGCAATCTTATTTATTTTTCACAGCAATATTGAGTTTCTGAAAGCTTCCATCATTATCTCCATTTTAAAGATAGAAAAACTGAGGCTGGGAGAAATAAAATGACTTTCCGTTGTTCATTACAACTCATCTAAAGAAATCCTTGGTGTTGGTCTGGTAGGAGGGAAACAGCTCTGTTACCCACTATGAATGGAAATACAGATGGATTTCCTGGGGGTGGAAGGGACTTGACAAAATGTGACCTGAGAGTTTTAAAACACAAAAAAGAACTACAGTTGACCCTTGAACAACATGAATTTGAAGTACATGGGTCTATTTATATGCAAATTTTTCAAAAGTATTTTCTCTTCCTTATGATTTTCTTGATAACATTTTCTTTTTTCTAGCTTATTTTATTGTAAGAATACAGTATATCATACACATAACATACAAAATATGGTTATTTAACTGTTTATGTTAAGAGCAAGCCTTCCAGTCAACAATAGGTTATTAGTTTAGTTTGGGGGGAGTCAAAAGTTACATGCAAATTTTCAAATGTGAGGGGGGTGGGGTACCCCTAACCTCCTGTGTTGTTGAAGGACCAACTATAATCAGAAATGCCTACTGTATTGGTTAGTTACTGCTCTATAAAAAATCACACCAAGCCTTGGTAGGTTACAATTATTTATGCTCATTCACACATCTGCAGGTTGGCTGAT